ATTGCATAAGCAAAAGTCAAGTGGAGCAAAATGGAGATCTTTAGAAGAGCGAGCAATGTCGCCATGTCTTAAAATTAATCTTCCGGATCTAAAGTGCCGCAATGTCATTAAAATTGTCAAAGAAACAATCATAATTCAATTAATTTACATTATCGTGCAATTCAACATTTATAGTAATCGCGAATTATTGTACACGTATAAATTCTTTGAAATAAAATAAAGTAAAATAAAAAAATTGAAATAAAAATTTTTCATACAGATTTTGTATTGCACGAGAAATTTTGAAATCGTAGAATAGTATTTCTTTTGTCTCCTTTCTGTCTTAAAAATATTAATCTTACTGATACATTTGTCGAAATGAAAATAAATCTTGTTACTGCTGATGATAAAATCGTTAAATCGCAGCAGTATAGTATAATTCAGGTACAATTTATTGCAAATTTTCATACCTGTAAAATAAATACCTACCGTAAATAAAATTCCCAATTAAAAATCATAAAGGCTATATAAATAATAACTCGTTTATATACTATATTATACAACTGCGCAAGAATTATTGGTTTTTCTCGATATGTAAACATGTTGCTTCCAAGTACGATTAAATTTTTCGCAACTCTTTCACTAAACAAATTTCATACCCTTTGAAACGTATAAATATTTATTATTCCCTGAAATATATTGCGTTTCTAGAACTTTCAATCCTTCGCCCGTATTTATTTTGTGCTTCGTATTCTGTTTAATTCAGGGAACAAATTACTATAATGGAGGAGTTAGGAAAATGAAATTTATTTCAGAAACGGAAAGAGATTTTTTTTCTAATTTAATAAAAGAATTGCTGAAGATTTCTTTTTCAATGTAATTAAATGAAATTGCTGTTCATTGTTTCTCTGCTTTCGTTCGGTTATCAAACTAGAAAAATTCCTTCAGAACAGACGTGTTTCCCTGACGAGCGAGCAGTCTGTAATTAATGAATGCCCGATGGGATAACATAATTAACGACGTTAACGTCATTGGGAATACTATCAAAATTGACGACACGAAATTTCCTACTTTTAATAACAAACAAACGAACGACGAATAAACATCTCGATGAACAGTATAAACATTTCAATAATCAGAAACAAATCTGGCACAAGGGTTATTCATGAAACAAAAATACGTATGAAGTAATATAACAGAGCTTGAAGTTTTTTACGTGGTATCTTGGGAAATTTCGTTCTGAATGATTGGCACTGCAGCTACGAAAATGGTTCTCCTGAGAATATGTATGCTGAAAAAATTATTTTTGGAAGAAATTATTTTAAAACAAGATTTATTCACTGAACCAGTTTGTTATTTATGTCAGTCCATGATCTCACTTGATTATAGTTACACAGTTATTTAAAGTTCCTGATGAGAGGTTTTGTTCGTTTCGTTTGTCGACAGAGCCTGAGTGAAAGGACACGTCAAACGAATGAAACATTTCATCGTGTTTTCTTTGCTTTTCTTCATTACAACGTCACATTTAAATATATATACTTCGGACTCTGTTAATCTGTAAACTAATCTAATATTCGTAATTTGTACACACACAAAAATTAAAAAGAGTCTCACCAATGAAAAAGGTAGTAAAATATCCTATCCTCGATACAAGTGATTTAATAGCTGAAAAAATGGTTAATGATCAACGTTTCGATTTTTACTTATAGATAGTAATCCGAATCTCTACAAAAATGAAATTGCAGCAGTAAAGAAACAAACAGAATGGTCTACTAAAATAAATGACTTACAATTACAAATCATCGCATTTTAAACATCGAAATTAGCAAACACATATATAAATTATAAAAATGAACGTGTTATCCTTCTATTTCAATAATTTACAATGAATTATTATAAGTTGTGGAAATATTTGAACTTCCATTATTCTCCCGATACTCAATAATATCTCGTGATATATCCACAGAAACACAAACAATTGTATCAGTTTGTGAATAAAATTTTCGATAAGCGCGTAAATTCCACTAGTCTCGCCTATTTCCTATCCGATATGTGGCGAATCCGGCGCTTTCGAAAATTATGGTTAAATTTGTAGCGATATCTTCACATTTTCGCGCGTTACATACGCGTAAACACGCGTGCAAGCAAGGAGGATTTACATATAGATTAGACGGATGTTCACGGCACACGGGAAATAGAAACGTGGTATGGCTAACAATGCGAGTCATGCGACGATTTTGGCTCGATTTCAAGCAAACCGGTTCCAGACGCGAATGAATTTCGTACACTCGTATTTCCTCTGTTCTCGCCAATCGCCTTGTCCACTGTTGGCTTCCGTTCCTCTTCTCTTTCACGCGTGTGAATTTGCTTCATATAGTTGCTTGCAAAAGTATTTCAACGCATATATACCGCAACTATATTAGTTAAACTTAAAACCAATCTAAATATATATATGGAACATTATAAGATATTTATTGTCTACGTATAGTGAGCAGTCTAGACAGCCTAGCCTGTATGTAGTACAAAATTAGTATACGACATTGATAGCAATCTTTAACATCTAATAACTGTTAAACATGATTGCACTAAATATTCAAGCTAATTCTATACTGACAGACAATGTTCCCGGCACCTGGCCAATTGTCTGTCAGTGTAGACTTTACAGTAGTGCAGTAGTGTAGACAGTTTAAATACTTTTGTGATCTCAGAAAATATATACTTTCACTAAATATCGTGTACCTTCTATATAAATTTTTAGATTTTCTTTAAACTTTTCCAATACAATGATGATAATCTGATCTCATAAAAGTGGCCATGAAATTGTAAAATATTTCGTGTAGCAGACCTAATGTGTATTTGTTCACTTTTATAAGTATTCGAATACCTTTTTAGTTAATACAAGCTACGATACATATGTTCGACAAAATTTTCCCTAGCTCCGGACATTAACGCATGAATTCGAACGCGGCAATTTCGGCATTGAACGAAACAGCTCTTCACAGACACTGGCACCTATCCAACGAATTGTACCGGCACTCTGAAAACGGTAGCATTTCACACGACATGCCGTATCGTACGTCGCGAAACAAGCTGTCTTCACGTTTGCCTCTTGGTCTTTTTTCTTCCGCTTTTCAAACCGTCCGACGTGGCTCTTCTCTCATTACATAGCTTGAAAAAGGTTCGGAGGACCATTGAACGTGTCGATGTCGAGACGTTGGGAATCGATCACGGAAGAGTCAACGACATTTCCTACTCGCTTTCGTCTCACTATTTTTCGAGAGGTTCTCGATGCTCATACGTCTTTGAGAGGAATGCCGTATAGAGGATTTTATGTTAGAAGGTTTATCGTTCCATCGTTCTGAACGAGTTGTGTCAGAGGAGATTTAACACTAGAACTACCAGTTTGAAATATGTATCTAAATGTTCTATATACATATATACATGTAGAATCTCGCTCAAAAGTAATAGGACAGTTATTATATTTGCTTCCAAAATAGTTTAATCTATATTTGATACCTTATAAGACAAAGAAAATATATATTACTAATTATATATCAACAAATGCAATTACATATAAAAGAAATGCATGTAATTTAAAATTCATAGTGTACGCTAAATACCAAAAATTGATATATCTTAGCATAAAGTTTATCGATATATGATTAACCAAAAATCCTTTTGCTTATACATTTGATTATGTAAGAATATTTATAACCAATGTTATTGTCATAATTTAATGATATTCTTGGACAAAAATAACATAGATGAGAAGAGACAACTTCAATATTTGATAAAATTACAAAAATTTCATTTTATTCAATTTAAAATACCGACAAAGGTAGACAACAAAGCGGTTAATTTTCAGCGTAATCACAATATTTCAACGTTAGATTATTTACGAATAATAATCGTGTTTGGTAACGTGAAATATCATAAATTACGTACTCGTGAGCGCTTTATACGGCATATTGTGTAAATTACGATTCAAACAATTCTGCGTTATGAATTTAACGAATGTTCTCCGTGTAAAAAATTGGATATGTTTCCAACGTACAGCCCGCAAAGTATGTAAAAGCAATTGTTGCATAAACTGCAATGTTTCGGCGGTACGTTGTATAACTATTTTCGTATTTCAATTATTCAGTCAGCGCAGTTTCAACTTTGTACCATTAAATGCGAAACCGCAACCTCTGCGAAATTTATTTTTAACGAATTCAGAGTTGCTTACAATATTACAACTACTTCGTATTCAACCGCTTTAACGAATCTGGTGGTTTGTTATACAAAAATTTTATCGGCTGTTTTTGTATTTACAACAAAGTTTTGTTCTCTTTTTTAGGAATGTTACGATCAAAATTGGTTCTGATAAAATTAAATAACATTAAATTAAAAAATCGAGATAAATGAGCTTGAGGTAACGAGATACGGTACCAAACTATTAAATTAGTGCACATGTAATGTTTTGTCAAATAGAATTTCTCCAAAATTATGAATATGTTTAACATAATCAAATAGAGCTGATAATTATAGATGTAATACTTCGGAGAAATTATGTTGCTAAAATTTTATTTGAACAAAAGACAATTCATCTGCAGTAACCTAATTTTTCTTTTAGAATATGAGTTATTTAAACGTTAAACTGATCAACTCGATTTTATATGAAATTTTGAAGTTCGAGCCATATAATATTTAAATTCCATGTACTAAAGTTCGAAACCTTTTTTTATTATTCCCTTTCAAGTATCAACGTTCACGCGCGATCAATAAAACAAACTCATCACCCTTATCTGCTTCGCATAGGCGAAAAAAGCCTGACGGTAGACTGCAATATCCCGAAATTTTGTGAACTCGAAAAACAAAGGTATTTGTGTGTTTACGAACAGCCGTCTATTCAGGGGCTACGCAATATTGCGTCTATGATACCAAAATAGTGTGACACCAGTTGTTTTATTTCTCTCAGTTCTATAGCAACCGATATTTGACTGGTGTTTAATTTCCCCTCGTTTGATCTTCTGTTTCAGGCGCTTTTGCAAGCACATGACGTAGCGGGACATGAAGTTTATGGCGAAGAAGCGACCAGAGTTACACCGCCGCCTCTTCTTCCCTATCTAAACGGAGGCGATGATCTCGAGGGTCAAAATGGTGATTTGGACCTCGAGAATGTAACACGCGTCAGGCTGGTCCAATTCCAGAAGAACACCGATGAACCGATGGTAAAATAATAATATAATACGATAATATATTATTATACTATACTATACATTTAACTTATTAGCTCATTTCATAAATTTTGCCTTTCTTTTAATGAGAAGCTTTTGATGAAATTATGAAAGGGCATTATGAGCGAATAATTCATAGATGCAACACGTGTAATAAATAGATGACTGAATCTTTAAAATTTATATTTTTATGAATATAATTATAACAACTGGAATCTACATAGAATATTATTTTAACTACCACATATCATGCAAAGTTACTACACGTTAATTTTATTAAATAAATTTCATCAAGTGAGTAAATTTTGAATATTTTAATAACTCTAGTATAATGGAAATTTTATAAAATTTTTTAATGCTTCCCGAGCTGTATTTTTCTGCAATTTCTTTTGTTTAATATGATGGAGATAGAGACATCATTTAATGAATATTTTTTCTAATTTTATTTAATTCATTTTTTTCGGCAATCAAATTCTTTCGAGATATAATATGAAATTATGCATGGCTTAATATTTTGAATTTGACCCTTTCATTCAAGAACCTCGTTACTTTTCTCATTAGAAGATTACATTGATATTCATGTACTTTATGCTTTGTTAGTCTTTCATGACTAGAATATATGTACATTGATATACAAAAAAAAAAACACGATGAAAACGCACCGTTATTTATTTTGCTTGCAGGGAATTACTTTAAAAATGAACGAAGATGGGAAATGCGTGGTAGCAAGAATTATGCACGGTGGTATGATACACAGACAAGCAACTCTTCATGTGGGTGATGAGATCAGAGAAATTAATGGAATACCGGTGGCTAATCAATCTGTCAATGCCTTGCAAAAGATACTCGTGAGTACAATACGAACTATAAATCACAAACATCCTTGAATTCATAACATTAAAATTAAAATTAAAATTAGTATTAAATCTATATAAATTACGTTTTATTCAGTTTCATACACATCACACATTTGAAAATTCTTTAATTTTGTTTGTTTAAGTAATTCTGCGCAGACTGAGTCGCATAATTGAAATAGACTATATCTCGCGTTTCGACAAATATCTAACAAAACGAATCACACAATAAAAATGAAATTGTGTAATGAAATCTATCTTTTTACTTTAAAAAATCAACTTACGTATTATTTTCGTAATTGCAAGTATACATTTTATGATAGCAAATGTTCAAACATTAATATTCCTTTTATCTTATGATTTCAATATATTATTCCAACATATTATTTATATTCGTCATTTTAAAGAAATAACATTTTTAATTCATCGGCTGTCTACAACAGCTCATAATAATAAATAATAATAAAACTCACAACAATAAAATGTTGAAAAGTCCAATTCCCTTCAAAACATCTTACTCTAAGTTATTAACACGCAAAATGTTCATCAAAATAGATTGATTTCAAAATACAAAATGGTACTTTTACGGAAAACTTGAAAAACCAATGTACAAGCACTTTCATAAATCAAAACCTCTCCAATGTTCAATTAGTAGATGCTTTCCGACCTAATATTCATACATCGCGTAACGTGTGACGTTCGAATGTCAATGGCCGTCATAAATTAGTGGGATTTTTAACATCATTTCCTTCTCTAGTATCGAATGGCTCTGCCACATTTCCAAACAGCTAATGCTATTTTTTCCAATAGCGATTTCTATCGTAATATCAACGACGAGAACATTTTTACTATCAAACACGTGTAAATTATCAGCAAGATATAAAAAATAGTATACGCAAGTAAAATATTAAAAATAAGGAAAGATGTGTGATTAACATGGACCTTAAATATTATAGATCAAAAGCTATTACAACTATAATGGATTAATATTTCTTTTTAACGACGATGAAAATATACTACCATAATAGTTGTCCTCGAAAAGGAAGAGACAATTGCGAGACAATATTGATGAATCGACAACAAAACACATACAGCGAGTTATACAATCTGACCGATATCCATGAAATGCTTTTGATTTTCGATCTCTTATATGACCAATAAAATCTTCCATCATTTTGATATGCACGTCAGATTTATCGTCAGTTTCGAAGACCTGACAATGAATGCAACAATAAACCGAAACGTATACGGAATGCCCTGTGATTTATATAGAACGGGATACATAAAAATTCTGAAGATGATGTTTATATATCGCGGTATTCTCTGTACCATTTAATTTAAACAAGAAATAAGCTATCAAAAGAATATTCGTACAAATTTTGTGAAAAACTGAATTCATAAAAAGAAGCATTTTTTTACACAATGCAATCTTTTAGAGTTTTCGTCAAACCACGGATACAACCTACTTCAATTATGTGACGTACTTAAACACGTGTACGGTGTGTCTAAATGCGCTGTAACATAAACGACCTATCCACGAAATTATTACTTTAACAATTCCGCTTTCTGTTGCAGCGGGAAGCACGAGGTTCGGTGACCTTCAAAATCGTGCCGTCTTATAGGAGCGCACCACCCCCCTGTGAGGTACAAGTAAGCCCTAAAACCCAAATCCAAAACCAATCCCAGAGCCCAAGTACAGTAAATAAACCCGTGGCCGCGGCAGTGTCGA